CACACTAACAGACATCCACACACACACACACTAACATACACACACACTAACATACACACACACACACTAACACACACTAACACTAACATACATACACACACTAACATACACACTAACACACACACACACTAACATACACACACTAACACTAACATACATACACACTAACACACACACTAACAGACATCCACACACACACTAGTGTTTTTTTTTTGTTTTTTTTATTTAACCCCCCCCAGCCTCCTTACCTTTGGTAATGCTGGGGGGGGTTCTTCCTCTCCCTGGGGTCCAGTGGCTGCAGGGCGGCCGCCGAGGGAGCTCTTCCCCTGAGCGCTCTGCTCTGCTAAGCTCCCTCGCGCGCCGCCAGCAGAGTGAGGCTGGGAGCTGGAATATGACGTCATCAACCCGGCTCCCAGCCTCACTCTGCTGGCGGCGCGCGAGGGAGCTGAGCAGAGCGCTCAGGGGAAGAGCTCCCTCGGCGCCGCCCGCCCAGCGCTGCAGCCACTGCCGCCCAGCGCCCAGAATGTCTGTTAACCGCGAGACTAACAAGACATTTGCCTTGGGCATTTGGGGGGCGGCGTTTTTTGCCGCCCCCTGAAAAATGCCGCCCAAGGCAAATGCCTTGTTTGCCTCGCGGCTAATACGCCCCTGCCTCCAGATCGAAACTGAAGATCTCAGACATGGAGGCGAGACCACTGCAACATGGAGGAAAAGGTGAGTTTAAAAACCTTTTTACTGAGATCAGACAAGGGTCGAGATCTAAATAGTCGTTTAACACTGTAGTGCAGGAATACATACTTGTGTTCCTAACACTGCAGTGTTCATTTAAGCCATTATAGATATACTTTTTGCCAAGAGCTATGATTTGAACCTGAATCCAAACTGAGGATTACACGTTAGGCCTGGAAACAGCCAAGCTTTCTGGGAAGAAATGTGTCATGTTTTGTTGGCTTATTTTTAATGAAGAGAAAAGAAATGTATGATTGTAATGAATTGAAGAGCCTGTCTTAATGGCATTTCAGTCATTTTCAATGCACTACAGTTTTAAAAAACTGAATAAGAGCCTGTGATCCTTGTCAGCAGGTAGCACGGTCCTCTAGGGCAAAAACATGCACAGTCCTTGTAATTGCAAATACTCCAGGCACTTTATTTGTAAGTTCACACAGGATACATCAGTAAATGAAAACAAATGTAACAGAAAACCCTATAAACAAACACCTAGCTCGTCTGAGCACTAACTGACTTTAGTTCCCTATCTCTCAGGGTTAAACTAAACACAATATTGCACCAACCTTATTAGAGAGCAACGCTCTGCTATCTAACCTGTTGCTTTCCTTTCTGCACTCCCAGTGCTCCAAGCCAGCCTTGCCCTGACTGCTTTGCTTTCTGCACTCCCAGTGCTCCAAGCCAGCCTTGCCCTGACTGCTTCCTTTCTGCACTCCCAGTGCTCCAAGCCAGTCTTGCCCTGACTGCTTCCTTTCTGCACTCCAAGTGCCTAGTCTTCTTGACTATATGGAGAACAGCCTCTCTCTCCTACCTGCTTCCTGGGAGGAAGCCAGCAATCCCTCTCCTTTTCCTGCCTAGCCGGGAGGAGTTTATTCCCACTGCAACAGCTGATTACCTGCAGCTGAGCAGTGGGTTGGAGACAGTCCAAAAAACCCTGGCCTGGATCTAGGTCTCCCCAGAACACCACTAAACTGTGGAGTGGAGCATTGGCCCACCCTTCTCTCCAAATGCTACACCCCAGGGGCCCATAACTAAACAATGCGTTGTGTTGTGCAACACACAAACTACACATACTCCCCCTGGGGTTAAAAGGCCTATCTGCCTTCACTTTATCACATATCCTCCTCCCCAGCTCAGACCCATCGGGTCGAGCGGCCTTCGAACACAAACCGTGAACATTCATAACACCTAGGGCTCTACCAGCCCTGACTAGCTTCTCAGTTACAAGAAGTGGCCTATTGTAGATAGCGGCTACCTTGCTCCCTTGTATTTTAAGGAGCCCCCGCCCAAGTGGATAAACCAAATAGTTATCAAATCCCAGATAACACTTAGCAGTGTTATCGGTCAAACCGGCAGCCTTTACATTATTTACAACTAACCGGACCTTCATCAGGTGTGCTACCCAGTCCGCCCTGTTAAACACCACATCAAGGTAGGCAGCTGCATACTCTGGCTGGAACAGAACACTTTTCATCAGAGTAACCTCACTCCCTGAATCTGTCAGTGCTTGTGCACTCTTCCCTACCACCATCACCACTTTTAGCTGTGCTGTAACACCACCACCAGTCACCATACACATCTTTAAGCAAGTCAATACTATCCTATGCAGAGCCCTTATTCCTACGTCACATTGTATTGGCTCTTCACTCTCAGGACAGTTATATGCAATATGTCCTTGCATGTGGCAGTTGAAGCATATGAGTTCTTTCTCAGTCTGGTCTCGTATGGAGCGCTGTTCTTGTGCCGGAGGCCCAGACTCCCGGCATAGCTCATCTTTCCTTTGTCTGGTTTCCTCTGCTTGCTCAGCCTTGAGTGGCCACCTCTCAACGTCAGCAATGCTTTCCTTTGGGCTGTCTGGTGGTCTCCCTGTTCCCTTGGGGGTGTCCAGAGACGCAGTCATGGCCTCTCGCTGGATCATGACAGCCCCGGTATCAAACAGCCGGTCAGGCATTCCGAGTCCCGCCTTTAATTCCATGACTGTGTTCCCAGAATCTGGCAGCTGTTCCCGGTAGTCAGTGCGCCCAGGCTTTGTAGCAGTAGTCTTTGCCAGCAGATCTAGTTCTACGGCTCCCGGACAATCATTCAAATTCTTTGTAACAATACCAGGTGTCTCTGCTACTAAACAGCGCACCACATTGTTATACTCAACTGGAGTGCTTTGCTTCTCTTCATTTTGCTCAGCTCCTTTGCGGTTGTCTTCTCTGACTCCCCAAGTCAGTCTGCTTTTCATGCCTTTGACTTGTTCACTTGGGTGTACATCAGGGGCTTCTGCTTCATTTTTCTTTCCCTGGCTGTATCCACTAGCTTTACTTACACCTTCTGGGTGGTTTTTGCTTACCACCAACTCTTTTTCAAAGACCTCTTTATCACTACTTTTAGGCTCAGTTTCATCCTTCTTGCCTTCTAATTCCTGTTCTCTCTCTTCTGCGTGTTTCTCAACAGCACACTTTGCTGCCTCCATGCTTTTCAGCTTGTTGAAGACTTCTTCTACTGCCTCTGTCATCCCATGCAGAATGTCAGTAGCTTGGTTACAGGGTCCCTTGTCCCCACGCTCCCTGCAGGGGGCAATCTGCAAAACCTCAGTAAGGGCAGCTCTATGCTCCTGCTGAGCGTCCCTCAGGTTCTTAACCTGTGCAGCCAGGAAACTGTTTGTGCCTTGTTGTTTAGCCGTTGCCTGTACCACAGCTCTCAGCAGGTCCTCCATTATAGCACCAAGCAGGTAACAGTCTTAAAGGTACAGTGCTGCCTATTTTTTTTAAACAGGTCTGCAAAACTAAAAGTCCTCAAGCAGACTACCAAATGACTAGCACACCCACAGACCCTCAATGTGCTACTTTGCCCGCATTCTCCACCATATTGTGATCCTTGTCAGCAGGTAGCACGGTCCTCTAGGGCAAAAACATGCACAGTCCTTGTAATTGCAAATACTCCAGGCACTTTATTTGTAAGTTCACACAGGATACATCAGTAAATGAAAACAAATGTAACAGAAAACCCTATAAACAAACACCTAGCTCGTCTGAGCACTAACTGACTTTAGTTCCCTATCTCTCAGGGTTAAACTAAACACAATATTGCACCAACCTTATTAGAGAGCAACGCTCTGCTATCTAACCTGTTGCTTTCCTTTCTGCACTCCCAGTGCTCCAAGCCAGCCTTGCACTGACTGCTTTGCTTTCTGCACTCCCAGTGCTCCAAGCCAGCCTTGCCCTGACTGCTTCCTTTCTGCACTCCCAGTGCTCCAAGCCAGTCTTGCCCTGACTGCTTCCTTTCTGCACTCCAAGTGCCTAGTCTTCTTGACTATATGGAGAGAACAGCCTCTCTCTCCTACCTGCTTCCTGGGAGGAAGCCAGCAATCCCTCTCCTTTTCCTGCCTAGCCGGGAGGAGTTTATTCCCACTGCAACAGCTGATTACCTGCAGCTGAGCAGTGGGTTGGAGACAGTCCAAAAAACCCTGGCCTGGATCTAGGTCTCCCCAGAACACCACTAAACTGTGGAGTGGAGCATTGGCCCACCCTTCTCTCCAAATGCTCCACCCCAGGGGCCCATAACTAAACAATGCGTTGTGTTGTGCAACACACAAACTACACATACTCCCCCTGGGGTTAAAAGGCCTATCTGCCTTCACTTTATCACAGAGCCCTAGAATGATTTATAACAGATAAAAAAAAAAAGGAATAGGAAAAATCTGAAAATACAGTAAAAGCTCTCAAAAAGTTATAATGTTCAAAGATTATCCAACTATGTGCATTACAGCTTACAAAACAGAGCTTTGTAAGTCATGGAGTTAGTATAAGTAGCATAGAACAATGCTTTACTGGAGGCAGAAATGTAGTTCCTGCATTGTGCATTGTCCCTTGTGCTGACCAGGAAGTGACTAAAACTTCTCATCCAATCAAGAATAAGCAACGGTATTTCAACACTTGGACCTGTGATGGTAGTCACCATCACTGGGAGCATAAGATTGACACTTCATGGCTTGGACGCGGTCCGAGATGGCAGCATAAACGGAGAGCTCTGCTCCACCTGGCCCTATTAAATGCTAGAAAATAAGCTTCGAACTGCAAATGGCCTGTACAAAATGACCAGAACCTCCCCAGACCCCGAGGGGCTCACAATCGGGGTACCAAGTTGGTCCGATGGATGGATTCCTACATTCACAGGCCGGCACAAATGGAGAGGTAAAGAGCCCAAAGATGGCACTGACCTCTCCCGCCTCCCTGGCGGGCTCAGGCAACATCTCACTGAAATAGATTTGGGAAGACCTGCGCATTATGGAGGCTTCCATGGTGACTAAAGCAGACTTGCAGACCCTAACAGCCCCCATTCAAGATACCTTGAGGGCAGAATTGGCAAGCATCCGAACAGAGGTTGCTACCCAGACACTGGAGCGCTCTGCTGAGGCCCAATCCACTAGAGTAGTGGCGACGAACACGGCCGTGTCCAGACAGGGAGAGAAACTTTTGGCCATGAGGAGACACCTGGAAGACATCGCTAACAGGTGCCGTAGGTGTAATATCCAGATCTGTGGACTCCCGGAGGCAGAAGAGGAAGCAAACGTGGAGGACACGATGTCGGGCCTATTCCGCTCAATCTTGCAAGACGAGGCTCCGCAGCGCTTTGAGTTTGAGAGAGCGCACCGAGCACTGAGGCCACGTACCACGGAAGATAGTCCGAGGCCATGTTACAGGAAACGCAATTCATGGAAGGCACGGCCCCAAAACTTAAGAACAGAGACTATCTAACCAATTACTTTTGCATTCATCCCTCGGCCTGTAAGGCCAGGGTTGCCATACTACTTGCAGCCAACATCGGGTTCCTGGAATTGGATAGTCACCACAACCCGAATGGCAGATTTATCTATCTGAAACGCCTCATGGCAGAAAGGGTATACACTATTGCGACCCTATTTGTCTCCAACAGGAGGCAGGCACACTTTCTCAGGGGAACATTGAAAAAAACTACATGACTTTTCGGAGGCTGTACTGATCCTGGGAGGAGACTTCAACACTCCCCTTGACCCACTCCTTGACTCCTTAACAGGGCATAGCTGTATATCCCAAAGTGATCTGCGCAGATCACTGGGTGACCTGGGGCTGATGGACTGCTGGAGGACTCTCCACCCGACCACCAAGGATTTCACACATTATTCTGCATTACATGATCACTATGCCCGTATTGACTATCTCTTTATCAGGCAGGAGGGCCTATCCCGATTGCTAAAGGCCACAATCGAACCCGCCACGTGGTTGGACCATGGACCAGTTCATATAGAACTTGAGTCTCCATTATTCAGGGCCTCGACCTTGGTGTGGAGACTCAATGAGGCCCTGCTCCTGGACCCCGAGATCAGAGACCAGATCTCTCAAGCATTGTCCCTCTATTTCCAGGAAAATGATATGGCTGAGACCTCACCAATCTCGATCTGGGAGGCCCACAATAGTGTCATATGTGGCACGCTCATTTGCCTTGGAACTCAAAAAAAGAGGCCCTGCAAGAGATGGTGGAGTTATACAAAAAGATCTCAAACCTTGAACTCCAACATTAGCGTACACACCTGATGGACATATATGGGGAACTCATGCAAGCTCGGCGACAACTGAAGGAACTACTCAAGCTTAGATATCTCCAGTCCCTCCAATGTTCACGAGGCTTCTTCTACGCTCACGCGAACAAGGGGGGAAAATTCCTGCCCCACCTGTTGAAGGGTAACACAACTTGTCCAGGGGTGAGGAGACTGGTCCGACTACAGAGGCACACCCAAAAGTTCCCAAATACCTCAACTATTATGTTGACAGGAGAGTGGGCGCAGAAATGGCAACAGTGCTGGCTGCTCCAATAGGCCTGGAAAAACTATCTGCGGCCCTGAAATCTACCAAAACCAGTAAAGCGCCAGGCCCGGATGGCTTCTCCACAGGCTACTATAAGAATTTCTTTGTGGTGATCTTCCGTGGCTGACAAAAGCAATAATTGCTGTGTCAACAGGAGGGAATTTTGGAGCAGAGTTTTTGACAGTGATCATAGCGGTACTACTCAAATCTGGGAAGCACCCAGCGAATTGCGGCAGTTACCGCCCAATTTCCCTGTTAAATATGGACACATAAGCTGTTCACCAAGGTCCTGGCCACCAGACTACAACCAATCTTGCCAAAGCTGATAAACAAGGATCAGACAGGATTCATCCCAGGACTGGAGGCACGGGACAGGACGCTGAGGCTCTTTTCCATTCAACACCATGCGAGGAGGACAGGGAAACGCCTACTACTGTTATGGACCGACGCAGAAAAAGCCTTCGACCAGGTTGACTGGTTGTACATGATGGCTACACTGAGGAAGATGGGCCTGGGGGGGGCAGCTACTCACCTGGATTAAAGCATTATACACTTACCCATGTGCTTCGGTGAGAGTCAACGGGTCCCTGACAGCAGACTTTTGCATCACCAACAGGACAAGGCAGGGATGCCCCCTCTCTCCTTTGCTGTTCGCTTTGTTGCTAGAGCCCCTACTACAAGCGATTTGCCAAAATCCTGACATCCGGGGATATATCTGGCAGGGTATCGAACACAAAGTCGCCGCTTACACGGATGACCTTCTCTTTTTTATCTCCAATCCTCGGACCACGCTACTATGCCTCCTCTCGGAATTCGACCACTATGGCAGATTCTTGGTATTCAAACTAAATATATCAAAATGCGAGGTGCTAAATCTTACGTTGTCTGAAAAATACACCGCACTGAACCAGCTGTTCCCATTCCATAAGTGCTTTTGCAAAATTAAATTTCTTGTCATCTGGGTGACTATGGACTCGCGATCTATATATGAACACAACTTCATTCCTCTACTAAAAATGCTGCTGGCTGACCTGACTAGATGGGCATACCCACATATGAGAAGGCACGGGCCAATAGCAGTGCTTAAAATGAATATTTTACCTAGGGCTCTTTACCTCTTTCAGACTATCCATTGACCATCGTTCTTAAAATCGCTGAAAACGGCAATCATCAAATACGTGTGGAGAGGGGAACGGTCTCGGATTCACCATGACATACTGTGTTTGCCTCAACGGGGGGGAGAGGGGTTTAGCACTACCCGACTTTAAGCATTACTATCAAGCCACGATTATGCAACGCTTACTCGATGGGCATATTGGCGATCTACAAAAAAAATGGATGGCTTTGGACAGAGGAATCGTTAACACATCTCTGGAAACAGCAGTATGGGGGGTAGGACATGGAGACCTGGAACACGAACCTGAGGGGGTTCCGGTGGTACAAGCACTACGTTCCTGGAAGTCGATACGAGAACAGACACATATCTCCCCCACGTCCAGTCCCTTACTACCAGTGACAAACAACAACAAACTTGGGGGAGGACTCCCACCGAGAGCCTGGTTGTTCCTCTGAGACGGGGAATATATCCCTATCCAGGGTGAAAAGGTCAAATAAGCCCCCAACGTTTATCAAGATGCTCTCTTGGGGGCTTTTGGCTTTTTCACCCTCTTCTAACTCATTCTGCAATTTTCTTTTTTTCTGATATGTATTTAGTGTTTGACATTATTTTCAGGTATCAATTTAAGTTTGTATCTGGATTGATACTATTGGCTCCTAGTAGTGAGGATTGAATAAGCTTATCTGTAATTAGGATACATTATTTATATTCATTGTATATAGATACGTATATCTTTGCTGAGGCTTATTGGCAGATATGTTGTGATACCTGTGATTTTGTACCCGTATCATAAAGTACATTTTATTTAGTTGGTTGTGCTCCTCATTTATTATTATAGACTACATATTTTTGGCCTTAGGAAATAAGGCTTCTGAATGAGCACCCTAATTCTTGTGTTCTATGGTTCTATTTTGATTTTTTTTAATTATGGTTGTTGGTCAAGTGTGCCTACCTGTTCTGAATTAAAATAGAGATGCTGATTAGTGCCTGCTCAATAGCCTCCCAATGCTTTCCTCAGGGAAAAAAAGTTGTGTAAAATCACTTTTCCCATGCAATCAAAGGGCGGCTAGTCACCTAAACAGACACACAAGTACTGACAGAAACACACACTCAGAAATTATAATTGTTTTTATTATTTTAATTAAGATCCACCCAGCCTCCCTACCTTTGGGAGAGCTGGAGTGAATTGGCTTTTCCTGGTGTCCATTGGAGCTGCTGTCATGTTCCAGCTCTGCTCCCTCTTGTTCACTGTTTAGTATGCTGGGGCCAGAATGACGTCATATTCTAACTCCCGTCCGCGAGGGAGCATAGCCAGAACATGACAGCTCCCTCCTTCGCCGTCTGGCTTCATTTCGCAACGCCGGCTATCTCCGCTCTCCCACAGACAGCCGGCCTCCTTCATTTTCCCTCGCCTCCTATACTGAACAGGCAGATGAATCCCAGGAGCCATGGTAGTAGGGTATTGGGCAGCAATTCGACAGTTAGAAGCTAGAGTAGGGTATAGGGACAGCAATTGGGGGATTAGGGTCTATAGTAGGTTATAGGGGTGGCAATTGGGGGGTTAGGGCTGTAGTAGGGTATAATTGCAGCAATTGGAAAGTTAGAAGCTGAAGTATGGTATGGGGGAGAAGTTGGACAATTAGAAGCTGTAGTAGGGTATAGGGGCAGCAATTGAGGGCTTAGGGGCAGAAATTAGTTGGTTAGATGCTGTACTAGAGATTAAGGAGAGTAGTATGGGTGGATTAGGGGCTGTAGTAGGGGGGTTGTAGTAGTAAGGATAGGGGCTGTAAGAGTAAGGGACTATAATAGGTGGTTTAGGGGCTCTAGTAGGGGTAGTTTAGTGGCCTTAAGTAATGGGTTAAGGGCTGTAGTGGCAAGGAACTGAAGTAGGGAGTTTAGGGGGTTAACAGGATATATTAGGGCTAATTCCCCCTTCCCGAGGCTTACCTTTGGGGAAGGTATCCAGGAAGGGGGAGGGATCTTGTTTATTGGTGCCTGCTGTATTATATTATTATGAGAGTCTGTATTCTTCCCCATATGATTTTGTTATGTATTGAGTGTGTTGCCATAAGTTTAATGTAATGAAGATAGGGACTAGTTAGTTCCATTGGGAACAGTGTGCCCTGCCTGGTTTCCAGAAAAAGTGTTTTTGGACCTGGTGTCTGGCTGTTCTTAAACAGAAGAGGCAAAGGCAGAGGGGATGATACATGGCTGGATGGAGGGAGCTGCAGCCTGGTCTGATGGAAGAGGTTGTCAAAGACCCCAGTCATGCTTTGGCAACTGGTTCTAAAGTGCTCCAGAGTCCCTTATAACGGAGAGGAAGCTGACCTGGTGGAGATACTCAGTCGGACTATAGGAGTTCTGTTACTGGACCCAATTTCATTTATGGAGTCATGGCACAGGCTCTATGAGTGAGTCTTTTAGAGGTTTCAGCACATGTATGGCTTGTGTATAATGTGTGCTCACACACCTTACAAGTCATTTAAGAGAGAGAAGATCATTGTTCTCCTGTGGATGGGTTAATTGCTGTTTTTTAGGGAATTTGTTTTTATTTGCAAAGAACATCATTTGTTATAGTTTTTGAATTGTCCATTAATATTATTGGAGTTACATTTATTTTGGCCTTGCGTATCGCAAAATGTTGTGTGATAAACAACTAAATGCACTGAACCACATGTGATATGTTGTTGAGTGACTGGCATAAAGACTTTTCCAAGTTAAACAAAACTATCTTAGATTACACAGTGTAACAGGGACTTGATATAATCGTTGCTTGTGGCAGACCTCGATATACAAT